CGGCCATGTGGGATGACCCGACCCACAAATATTTAAAATAGTTGTAGTGATTGTTTTGAATTTGAAGTTCAAATATGTTACTCCCTACAACCACCATCAACTCCCATACAATTTCCATTCATTTATGCATTGGAAAATAGAGGGAGAAAGGGGACATGACAAATGGAGTGAAAATTCGTATGGAATTTTACACCTAAATTGGAAAGTCTTTAGAACCAAATTTTTGGCAAGAAATCTTACAAAATTTGACACTTAGATTGTGGATAATAATCCCCTTACATTGTGATCGGGATTGACACCATTTGAGAGCAAGGAAATGTAGATTTTGAAGCTTTGGAATGTAAAGTGATTCAACCATGAAAATATCTTGGAATTCATCATTTCAAGTAAGTTTCTTGACCAGAAATTCATGTTAAAGAATTCTACGAATTCTTACATTTGGAATAGGTCCATTTAAGCTATTGTATTCCAAATAAAGATGCTCCAAGTTGTAAAGAGTACCAATCTCTTGTCGGATTACACCTACAAAATTATAAAGTGCTCAAACTTTAAAAGAAACTTCTGTATGAAAATACAAATTAGGACAAACGTAAAAGTTCTTTTGAATCTAATTAAAAGTTACCAGATAGGTTGCAATATTGAAGCTCAATATATTGTAATGATGAAATGTTAAAGATACTGTCTGGCATAGAGCCACTAAGAAGATTAAATGCCACTCTCAGATCCTTGAGGTTCTCCAGATTACCCAATCCACGAGGAATTGCACATGTCAAATTGTTAAATCAGAACGAGAGACTACAATTACCAAAATGTCGATCTGAATAACATCAATAATTCTGTGAATGAAGATCTCTTCGAACAAATAATTATAGTACTAATACAACATCAATTGTGATTCGTTTACCGAACAAATCATTTGAACCAAGTTGTAAACTCTGAAGCATCCTTATTCTTCCGATTTCTCCCGGAATGGATCCACTAAATTGGTTGTATGACAAAGAAAGCATCTGAAGTTGTAAACAATCTGATAGACTGGAAGGAATTTCACTACCCTATTCATTTTTAGATATATAAAGCCCTTGGAGTTTTGGGAAGCCTTGGCATGTGCGAAGAGGGAGATTACCAGTTAGGTTATTCCCTGTAAAAGCAAGAATTTCCATTGACGATATGTTGAATATCCGCAATGGTATTACACCAGTGAGTCTGTTATGTTGTAATACAAGTGTTTTCAAGTTACAAAGATTTCCAATTTCTTCTGGGATTTTCCCTTGTAGAGGATTGGAAGAGAAATCCAAAAACTTGACCATGGATATATTAGAAAGAGAAGGTGGGATGAAACCTGTAAAATTGTTATTTCTATGATTCAAAACATGTAATTAGGTAAGAAATGAAACCAATAAGGAATTTCGCCGCTGAATTTGTTGAAACCCAAGTGCATGAATTTTAACCGTCGGAATTGTATCAACTCTTGAGGAAGACTACCATGAAAATAGTTTCCGGTTAAGTTGATAGAAACAAGGAAGGATAGATTTCCCAATTGGGAAGGTATCTTTCCAGTTAGATTCATGCTAGAAATATCCAAGGCAGTCACTCTTTGGTGGCGAAGACCACAAATAATTCCAATCCAGACATAAACTCGATAAAGTGTGTGAATGATCTAAATTTATGTGGGCTTTGAAGCTAAGAAGAGAAGATTGATCAGTCGTAATATTTGTTGTCTCCATGGCTAAGCAGGCAATTAGACACCGCACCAACAAAATTGCCCAAGTAATTAGCCATTTGCATGACAATTTTTCTTTCTGCATGTAGCAATCCTAGGTTGAAGATATAAATAGTACACTAGAGAAATATTTACATAACTTTTATTTTACTTGAATAATTCTACTTGTAGATAAGGAGATATAGAAAGTTTTACAGACAGATGAGGTGTTAAAAAGAGAGTTGAGAAGTTTTTTTTTTAATTATTATTTGGTTGAAGAAATTTTGATCAATCATATCTCACCACATTATGTGTATATACGCCAAGTTGTAATGTATATGTAGAACAACCAATTTTTTCAATTGAAAAAAGGAAAGTGCAGTGAAATTCAGATTGAGAATCATGCATAATTAATTAATATAATAAAGTTTAAAATAGTCATGGATTTGTTAATTCCCAGACCGCGTCGATTTAATTAACTAGTAGAAGTGAAAAGATGGTTCATTTCTTCATGTCATTAGACAGCTTTAAGATATTTCTTCATACTAGTCAAAGGTTAACGTGCTTTGCACGTTATTCTGAAATGCATTATAAGCAGGGACGGATGTCGTGGAGACTGTGTTAGGATGTAGCCCGATCAAGTCCTCAGGCCGCTTTATTTTTTTTGGGTGTAAAAAAATTATGTTAAAAGAAAAAATTCATGTTTTATATATTAGCTCAACTTGTACTACGATCCTAGATCCGTTCATATTTATAAGTATTGTAAAAGTAATAAATGAAGATGTGTGTATTTAAAAAAAAAAAACAATTCTAAAAAATTCTGTGTGAAATGAACTTTTAAATTAATGAAAATCTCTTTATACAATATATTTTTTGTGTGATTAGGAACATCTGATTTAACTAAAATCTTTTTAGGTGCTATAGAAATTCCCCTTGAAAGTGCAACATATAACTGTCTGTGAAAATACATGTTTTGGAAGATATATTCTGACATGAGGTATTGTGTGTCCTCGAGCCTTGTTGATTGTCATTGCAAAGCAGACGAACATGAAACTAATTGCAAGATTTTGACCTACCCTCAAATGAGCAGAGAACTCTCATCCTCCTCTAGCAATTTCCATGTTTTTTTACTTTTTCTTTCTAGTTCTAAGAATATTTAGGTACAAAACCATGTCTGACATAAAAAATTAACCCAAAGCTGTCCAACTTCATCATATTTTCCTGTCATTTATTGAAGCGTAAGAGCAAAAAATTATCAGTCAACTCATTTATCTTGGGAAATATTATCCTTTATAATATTTTCCTATCATTTATACGAACCCTAAGAGGAAAAAAATTAAGTAATAGAGAATTACAAGTACATGCAAATCAAGATGTGCTTCAGCTTTGTTCTGTTTAGAGTTTCAAGCATTCCAAAAAATAAAATCAAACACCTGCCAATTGAGCACCCTCACAATTTTGTGTAATTAGTAATCAGTTACTTCCTACCTGCTTAGTCCTCTCTGGCCGTTTCTCTCATGACGCTCTTTCCCAACTGCCGATTGGGGGCTGGAAGACCTAGGATCATGCTTCGAATTTAGCTCTGAGCCAGCATTCTTGTATCTTAAGATGTCACCATCACCATCCTATAGTAGTTTGAAGTAAAGTACATGAACAAAAAAATTGCAAACTGGACAAAATGAAACATAAAAAGGAAGGAACAAAATTTGAGATCTATATAATCTAACTTTGCATAAAAAAGATTTTCAATTACCATTTTATCTATCTCTTGCTCGAGATCCTGCTTCTCCTTCTCTTTCTTCCTTTGAATTTCATTTGTGATACGATCAGTCTCAGCCTGCAACCACTACAACAAAAATAGTCATTTGCAACTCTAAAAAGGCAGCATTTGTTGATAAATGTTGCTAAAAGGGTCTTTTGGCAACATTTTAGTAAGTGAATGTTGCCATTGGTTAGTATAAATGAGTTTTGGCAACGTTTTATAGAAAAATGTTGCGATAGACCCCCTTTTGCAACGTTTATTGAGTGATGTGAAAAGTTTTTTCTTTTGCAACGTTTGTCAAACGTTGCGATAGACCCTTTTTTGCAACGTTTATTGAGTGTTGCGAAAAGTTTTATTTTTCGCAACGTTTGACAAACGTTGCAAAATGCTTTTCTTTTGAACATTTGTCAAACGTTGCGATAGACCCTTTTTTGCAGCGTTTATTGAGTGTTGCTGAAAGTTCACTTTTTGCAACGTTTGTTAAGTATTGCGAAAAGGTAAAAAAAAAATTTGTTATGAAATGACAAAGAAAGAAACCCTCGTTCATTTCTCCACTACACTCCTCCCTCTCTGAGCTCTCTCCCACCTCCCATCACTCCTCCGTCTCTAAGCTCTCTCTCGACTCCCATGCTCTCTCCGCCCGTCCTCTCTAGTCTCTCCCATGGCAGTCACGGGCTCACGACAGTGACGCCCGTGATCTTCTCTTTAATTTTTTAGATTTATTTTGTGTTTTCTTCTATTTTTTGTAGATCTGATGAAAAAAATAGAATTTTATTTGGTCAGGTATGATGAATTTTGAAAATTTTGCGTTGTATTTGTTGATAGGTAAATTGAAAAGCAATTAATTAGATCTGTGTATTTTATGTGTATAATTTCACGACATGTTTTACATAATATATTAGATCTGTAAAGTTGGATAGTTATCCTTTTGTTTAGTTAAATAGCTATATATCAGATGCAAAAATTGAGATTATGCTTACTCGAAATAGTTTGAAAATTTTCGCTTCTAATTGTTGATATGTAAAGAGGAATTAAAATAGCATTTTAAAAAGATAGGAGAGGCACAATCACTTTCAATTTGTTTACTTTGACTATTTCCACTTCACTTCCTTTGGTTGCCTTTATATGTACCATTGTCACCGAGAAAGGGGGTTGGAAATGTTATATTGAATGGAAGCAAGTTTGGGAGAAAAGAGAGGTGGAAGTGGAACGATCGAATGAGGGAAATTTTAAATTCTGTTTGATGAAATTACTGACGTTGGAATAATGAACCGTGCATGACAATGCCTACAATCTGTTTGATGAAATTACTGACAAAGATGCCATTTCCTAAAAGTTCAACGATTCTCGTATCAATGGCGCCTTAGCAATCTGTTGTATGTGTGAATAATCACCCTCTCTTTTCTACTCTATTCTAAATTTCCGACTAATTATAAATTGTGGTTCATTCTTTTTCTGCTATATATGGTCAGGTTGATTTGGAGACATTTATGATGTCTCCAGTCAAAGACTTCGTCATCTTTCATGTTTATTATTCTTTAACATTGGGAACCAAGAGCATGTTTGGGAGTGCTTAAAAGCTCTTTATAAGCTCTTCCAGACATGCTTTAAGTCTAGTTTATCCGACCAATAACTATACCTTTTGAATC